CGGGTTGTTAACAAAAAAATTTGTACATTGTCAAAAATAACACACGATTTATAAGGTCATAATGCCAAAAAATGACAAAATGTATAAACAATGACATCATCGTGAATGCTATAATACTTCTCTACCCGAGATCAATATTCTTGTTTATCTTTTTACATTTAAGGAAAAAGAAATTGTTTAGCTATATTTTATGACATTCTTTTTAAGAAATGAGAAAGTGATTTTTAACAATCTAAAAAGAAAAGTGGAAAAATTAATTTGGTACGAAGTGAGAATTAAATATAATGGCAAATGCTTTACATGAAAAAATGTAAAAATAAAACTTCATACTAAAATTTATGCCAAAAGACAACGTGAATGGGGGTCAACACATGCAAAGATGTGTTTTGCGTGTAATAATGTCAACACCCAAAGATGTTAAAATTATCGCCACGATTTTGTTGTCACTAACATACAAAACTACTCGTGGTGTCACTGTCTATATAAAACACCTACGATTCATTGTAAAATTGATGAATTCTATCCATCCTAATTTGCCTACCCCCCCCCCCACACACCTGCACCTACACCTCTCTAAATGTGTGATTATTAGGCAGCCAGTGTTATGACCACACATTTGAAAAGGAGATGGGGGTTCGGAGAACTATGATGGAACGTAGGAATCATTTTTGTAAATGAAACACTCTTGACACTCCAAAATGATAGTGGCGCTGCCAATGGCTCCGAAAACCAGTGGTCACAGAACCGGACCTATTATAGGTCCTATAATTATACCCAAAATACTACCTTTCTTATCCTTGAATATTTGTTTATTTTTTAAACTTTATATTTCAAATTGATAAGCTTAGATCATTAATTAAATAATTTAAATTAAACCTTATTGAAAAAAAACATTTTAAAAATTTACTCATTATTTTTATATAGAACATAGACATATTTAAGAACACAAATTTTGGTTTCAATTCAAATTTAATCTAAACTAGTTAATCCTTAAAAATTTTAAAACAAATTAGGTTTAAATTTAAGGTAATTTTTGGAAACTCTGACTAACGCTTAAGTCCCTTGGGTGGGGGTGTCGTGGTGAGTAGTGATGGCCACCAGGCACCACCTCACCTTCCATAACACTGTGGAACACCGCCTTCCATATGTGACCGCGATGGAAGTGATGCCCATCATGATCACCACGACTTTATCACCTTCCCTGTTTCCATCCTCTCTCCGCTTTATTTAAATCCTCTCCACTTCAAAAGTTCACTCTCAAATTTTCATTCTTTTCTTTTCTAGCCCCGTTCTAAATTTTATGCTCTTTTTTTATAACGTGGACGTCTTCTGATTCATATGAAGCAAAAGTTCTTTTCATGAATATCATGGTCCGGTATTCATCGATATTTTTCATTTTCCTTTTAAATATTACTTTAAAAATCTGAATTAAATATTATGAAACTAATGTGTCGGTCATCTTTTTCTCCGCATTGCGAATTATTTTTCCGAAAATGCGACCTATACCGACGAACAATTCAGATAGAGATTTCACATGAGTCGTCATCTTTTTCTCCGCATTGCGAGGGATTTAGTGGGTGCAACTCTTTTTTTACGTTGCAACGTGATGCTCAACAAAAAGTTGGATTTTAAATAAAATGCAAAAGTACATGACAACGTTGTGACAATTGGCATATGACAACTATGCAAGTTCACTTTAAGTATTTGTGCATGTCTGATCCAACGATACAGGAATGCCTATACAAGTCTTGTAAATGGGTTATCAGATTACAACAAACAATACTTGCACAGACCCACACAGAAAGACATGCAATTACTATACCTCGCCCATGAAGTCCGACATAGATTTTCCATGATCTTAGTTAGTATTGGTGGCATGCACTAGGCATGGGGTACTTGTCTCAATGCATGGCGTGGTCAATATATAAACGGCGGTAATCACGAGAACCCCAGAACAATGCTTGAGATTGTAGCCTCTCATGATCTATAGATTTGACATGCATTTTTTAGGATGGCTTGTAACAACCCAACTCGCATAACTCGAATACATGAGTCAGCATATCGAGTTGCTACTATATTGCATTCAAACACTTTATATTTTCAAAATAATTTAAAAACATTTAATTCAAAAAATTATTTAAAATCAATCGGAGTAAACAAAAAGGTGCGGATAGGTACTCAATTTAGAATACAACTTTGGGTTCATGCTCGAAAACTTAGCAAATTCCAAAAGGAAATATTTAATTAAATGAACTCCTCAGACATGCATCCACCCATCTCTTCTTCCTCACTGCCCTCCAGTATTATTTCCTTATTCATCATTCATGATACCTAGGTGTAACAAGTAAAACAAACTACACGTTGAGCTTTCGCGTTGAGTGAGAAGTTCTAACAGTGGATTTTACACACATGATTCAAAATACATAATCACTCATAGGATTCCATGTAGTAAATAATATCACATAAGTCATTTCCTAATGCAGGACTTAAACTTTTTTATTCCCTAAATAGGATTTAATAATGACTAGTGAAAAGAATAATGTCCAACATTGGGAAATAAAAACATATGATCCTATATTGAGAAAGTCATTATGTTTTATTCCTATTTAGGTAAATTACCTATCAAAATAATGTAATTTCAACAGCATCATGGCACTTACATGAATTATCTGGTTGCATCAGTTATCAACTCAACGCTCATGTCTTTATTAAAGTTCATCTCTAACACTTACTCATAACATGTTCTAGGCTAAGGCTGTTTTAGTAACAAACACAAACACAACATAGCACAACGTGATCTTATCAACGAAAGAGTTCTCCATTGGGTGGGTGGTACCCAAGTCTCCTTCAGAATGATAGTTCTTGGATCATACATTGGATCTCGTATGTACCCTTTAACCCAAAGCCACTCGATATCCATAAGACTTTCAACCTATATTGACAACAACTGCTCTCAATTCACTCATGTCAATCTTAGAGTTTTTCTAGGTAACCTAATTATTTATTTATAACATATCTACATATTAATATTTATACCAACAAACTCAGCTTATTATATTCACTCAAGGCACATCAAGATTATATTTAAACTATAACAAGAATGATAACAACGATAAGATCAATCATCATATGATATAATTGGCAACCTAGTGTTGGGTGGAAACATCTTCCACTTACCGTCATGACACACAAGGTCTTCAAATCAATCTGTAACTTAGTTCGAAACAACACCCAAATAAAAAAAGGGTGGTAGTTGCTTGGTACGGTACCTCAGTATCGTCCGAGTCTCTATTCAATGAAGGAAATTACTCGCTAGCGGTCAACCGCTGGGCGGTAGGACCCTACTGTCAAATACCGATCACTAGCTGCGACTGCAAACAAAGACCAGAGGCGGGTTTCAAGTTCCAAAATTTAGTTATTTCTAATATTGCTCGATATATTAGCATAAAAATAATAATAATTTGACTAATGAAACATATCTCGTCCTTCCCTCATCAACCAACCAATTTTAACAAAAATCACAATTTAACAATCATAATCGAATAATTCACATGCACGAATCTCCAATTGGCTACGTTTACATTCAACTTTATCTATGAATTTTAATGGTAGAGGAAACCCATGAACTCATCTCGATCAATTAGTGAATAAAACAAATTGACAAATCAAATTCAGCTAGGGAAACGCTGAATAATGACGGCTAGCGGCGGTCAACTTTTTCGGGGACGTGCACAACGACATAGCAGTGGTGGTGCAGCAACTCTCTCTCTCTTGTGGCTCTGCTCATTCTTCTCGCTAGGGCTGGGCACGGATCGGGACGGTCCGGGTTTTAGATTGTCCCACATTTTATCCCTATATATATAAACAGTCCGGAGCGGTTCAGATTACAATCTTACCCCGGTTTGTCCCATAAAATTTGAGATCGGAATAAACAAGGACAAATTCAGTTCGTCCTACTTTGTCCTAAACGTAAATATAAGATGGGGGAGAGGGTGACATTTTATTTTAGAAAAAATAAACATCTAGCCATCCAATAAAAAACAATGAGGGAAATGGGTCCAAATAAATTTCAAGTCTATGAAGTTAACTTAATTAAATAACTAATTAATTAAAGAATGAGTGTATTTTGATTTTGGACTAGAATTAATGTTATATATTAGTAGAGTAGATGAAACAGGACAAACGGGACGGATCAGTATAAATTTAAGTTGTCCCGCTCATGTCCCATTTGATATTGGAACGGAACGGGTTCGGGATAAAAGAAATGTGTCCCAATATATTAGTACAATTACAAAACGGATCCGCGATTTTTCAGAATGGTCCAACGGGAACGGATTTCACGCCCACCCGTACTTCTCGCTATGGGCACAATACTTCGTAGCGTGTGCGTGCGTGCGTGTCGCGTGTGTGTATGTATTTATGTATATGTATGCTTAGGGGAGTTTGGATTTCTTAATAAGGGAAGGAGGTAGGTTTTTCTAACTTTTATTTATTATTATTATTTATTATATTATAAAATCTTTATATTTATTTGTTGAACTATAAAATATATTTTGGTCATAACTTTTTACTCGCAAGTTCAAACATAACAAACTTCGTACCATTGATCATATTTTCACGAGATCTACCCGACTTATTAATTGTATTTTTAAATAATTATATTTTTTAATTCCGCTTTTTTAATCGTATCATTGTATTTTTATTTTTATTTTTAATATTATTGAATAATTTACTTAATGTAATTTATTTTATATTAATTATGATTTGAAAAAATAAAAACAAAATGAACGTGATGGGTGTGATCCACACTTGTGTGGTACAATGAGTAGTGATGTAAGGTCGACGCCAGCGTGTCATTGCCCCTTGACCCACACTCTCTTCGTCGGACCTAGTTTCGAGGGTGCATTAACTACACTTCCTTCCCAATCGATTGTGGCTGAGCGATGTTTTCAGGAGGCAGTTGTACAAAATAATTTAAGCTCTCTCATGATTTGAATTTTCAAATATTCCACCGTATATTTCTAATTTTCAAATAACATCCAACAAATTAAACAAATTTGAAAACATTACTCCATATATTCAAAGCTTGCACAAATGGACGTTTTATGCCCACATACAGAGCAAAATTGTACTCTTAAACTCGTATTTCAACATATACACCACTAAAAATACTCGGATGAATCAAACAGTCCCGCAAACTGCGGGAGTCAGTTCGGCCGCCGGCTTTCCTCTGCAGGCGGCGTTCAAGAGATGTGGCTTGACGTCGGCCAGCCGGACGGGTTTGAGGCAGAACTCCTCGGCGCCCTCCGACAGGCAGCTGCGAATCCTCGACGGGATGTCCTCAGACGACACCACCACGACGGGGATGTGTTTGAAGGCGGAGCAGCCCTTGATCTCCCGGAGCAGATCGTAGCCGGTCATTCCGGGCATGGTGTAATCGGTGATGATCAGATTCACCTCTGTTTCCTCCACCACCCGGAGGGCCTTCGCCCCGGAATCCACCACCGTCACGGTCACCTCGTCGCCGGAGAAAGCCGCCTTCACCAGCCTCTCGATCAGCTTCCGGTCAACGACGCTGTCGTCGACGGCAAGAACGTGGAACTTGTGATGATCGGCGGTTGCCATTTTTGTAAAAATTTAAAAAATTAATGGAAACCGAAATCTGAAGTGAATGAAGATCTCAGGAAGAAGAAGGAAGGAATTTCTGCTCGAATTATAAGATTTGGGGATGAATGCATTTGGGTGTATTATATACTCCCTCCCTCCGTTCACAAATAAACTTTAAGTTCACTATTCACATGATCAAATTTTATTCACTTTGTTGGCCTATTTTTGTCATCCATTTGATAAAATAATATAGTCATGTCACTTCTAGTTTTGTAGATCTTTTGATATAGTTTTTTTAATATGTAACTTTTATTTTTCAATTCTAAGCCATTTTTTATATAAAATGATTTGAAAATAACTTCGGTCAAAAGAGAAGTGGGGGTGTGATTTCTTGAACAAAAAATCAGAGAGATGGCAAAAGGGCATTAATGGAGATTTTGGGACGATTTCGATATGGCGGTGGGGTTGGGAGAAGTGGGGGAGATGCGCCCGGAACATATTTCATTTGGACATGTCCTTATTTTATTTGTCCATTTTTTTAATAGTTACATAAAGGGCCATGTTAAACTTACACCAAAAATTGTACCTATTTGTACACCGCTAGTTATACATAAATATTTGATGGTTTATACCGACACAAATGTTGGTGCGTTAACAAAAATTTATATGAACAAAAAGTGTTGATGCATTAACAAAAATAAATTTTACACCAACATAAAATGTCAGTACAAACTTGCAGTGTACAAAATGGGGTACAAAATTTTGAAGTACAAATAGTTTTATCCTTACATAAAATATGGAGTATATTGTATTTTAATTATATAAAAGAGTAGGTTCCATAAAAGGTCTCCAGTTATAGGTCGTTTTACATATTTAATCCTTACATATCAAATATTGCTAATTTAGTCCCCAATTATTATATTCATTTCCACGAATGGTCCTTTGTTAATATTTCCATTTCTTGAATACTTATGTTGCAAGTCATTCGTGTCTACTTTGTTCCCGCTTGGAGGAGATTCGATGAAAGTAAGCTTTCACGATGACATGTATTGTATTCACAATTTTTTAACATTTGATTATGGCCCTGTTTGGAAAACGATTTTTCAGATAGCTTTTGGCATGTTTGACTAACTTTGGTTTTTTTAACTGAGCGAACAACTAAAATCATTGTTTGGCTAATGACTTTTTCACTTGGCTATCTATAATATCATACTTTTTCACTAATAATTTACCTATGATATCTTGTTGTTAGCCATCACATCAAAAATACTTTTAGAAAATGAACACAAAAATATATATTCCTTAAAATTCTAAGAAATGTAAGAAATAGAATACAAATTAGCACTCTGGAATACAAGAGAAGTGTAAGAAAAAATATCGAGGGGTGAAGGCGAGAGATTCAGGCAATTTGATTTGATTTTTTAATCTAATTGTGTCACTCTTTGATCATTAATTAAATATTATTTAAAAAAAATTAAATATTACAGAGTATAAAGTTTATTCCGTCATATTTAAAAACTATATTTTAAAATAATTCAATTTTACTTAATTTATACTATAACTAAATATACTTTTTCCATAATTCACGATTAAAAATATCACATTTGGATCAAAAAAGTCGAAGTGAGGCCATCTTTTATAAACACACTAATTTTGCATTTCGAGCCTAAAAAATCAATACAAGAGGGAAATGAAAGTTTCCTTTTAAGTTGCCGAAAGTATATTTATTCAAATCTTTTGAATATTTTTGCAAACGCGGTATAGGAGCCATTAGTTTGGTAGGTATATGCCTTGGGCCATAGGGACACGTTGCATATATATTTGCTGTCCAAATCAAATATCTTCCGGGCGCATCTCCTCCGCTTTTCCAAACTGTCACCCCCACCGCCATATCCAATTCTTCCCCAAATATCTCCATTAATGCCTTCTTTCCATCTCTCCCATTTTTGAGTCCAGAAATCACACCCCCAATTCTTGTGTGTGTCTATATATATATATATATATATATATATATATATATATATATATATATGAGGTTGACTCCAGTCAGATGACAACTTATGGTAAGATGACACAAAGCTCACCACTGATCACTGCAAAACCCACCAAAGATTTTTTCATACTTAGAATTTTTAAAATTTTAAAGTTTAAATTCTTACAAACCCTAAACAAAAAGCTCGCCATTCTTCAATGCAAGGCTCACCGAAACATACACGCAAAGCTCCCCAAATTTTGAGGTTGAAAAATTGAAAAAAAAACAAAGGCTGACTTCCACCACCATTGACCGGTTATCGGCGGCGGCGATTAGCGGTCAAATTCAGTGGTTGACATGGATCAAAGTCAGCACCTCTTAGACTTTTTCAAAAAAAAATTCTAAGTGTGAAAAAAATTGGTGAGTTTTGCCATACATTCTAATGAGCTTTACAGTTGGTCTAGGTGAGCTTTACAATTGACAGTGATGAGCTTTGCATCGTCTGATCGTAGCATGTTATCTTACCATAAAGTGTCATCTGACTGGAGTCGATCCTCTACGGAGCTCCGTTCATAAAATTGATGATTACTATCCCTCTAACCCCCGGTAAACCCCCGCCAAATCCCGACCCAAATTAATCACTTCACCTACTTTTATTGCACCTCGTAAGTATAATTGAGTTTAAAGTCAAAAATTCGTAAGAGAGGTTAAAAACGAATCAAGAGAAGTTCTTTTAAGTTGACCGAAGCATTTTTATTCAAATCTTTGTGTAGACGCGGTTGAGGATCCATTAATTTGGTATGTGGGGGTATGTGCTGTCCAAATCAAATATGTTCCGGGCGCATCTCCCCCACTTTTCCCAACCCCACCGCCATGTCGAAATCTCCCCCAAATCTCCATTAATGCCCTTTTGCCATCTCTCTGATTTTTTGTTCAAGAAATCACACCCCCACTTCTCTTTTATATATAATACACACCCAAATGCATTCATCCCCAAATTCGAGCAGAAATTCATTCACTTCAGATTTCGGATTCCATTAACTTTTTAAATTTTGATAAAAATGGCAACCGCCGATCATCACAAGTTCCACGTTCTTGCCGTCGACGACAGCGTCGTTGACCGGAAGCTGATCGAGAGGCTGGTGAAGGCGGCTTTCTCCGGCGACGAGGTGACCGTGACGGTGGTGGATTCCGGGGCGAAGGCCCTCCGGGTGGTGGAGGAAGCGGAGGTGAATCTGATCATCACCGATTACACCATGCCGGGAATGACCGGCTACGATCTGCTCCGGGAGATCAAGGGCTGCTCCGCCTTCAGACACATCCCCGTCGTGGTGGTGTCGTCGGAGGACGTCCCGTCGAGGATTCGCAGCTGCCTGTCGGAGGGCGCCGAGGAGTTCTGCCTCAAACCCGTCCGGCTCTCCGACGTCAAGCCGCATATCCTGAACGCCGCCTGCAGAGGAAGGCCGGCGGCCGGACTGACTCCCGCAGTTTGCGGGACCGTTTGAGTCATCCAGATCTGGGATTTAGTTGCTCGTTCTGTGTATTCCCAGTTCTAGTGTGTATATATGAAGAATAAAAAACTTTGTTCAAGAAATGGTTGGGTCAAAATGCTGACTTAAAATGTTTGGGAACATGTATTTGGATTTGGATTTCAAATCCGAATTTGGCTCAAATTCCATGTTTGGGAAACTTACAAATTTGGAATTTGGATTTGAATCAAATTCTTCTCATTCATAACAAAGCTTAATTTTAAATCCATTCATCCCCTTGTCATTTGAAATTCAAGATTTCAAATTTTAGAATTGAAATACATGAATTGAAATGAAATCATAGTTGCCAAATACTACCTTAGAGTATTCTTCCGTCCTCAATTAGAATACAATTTTTTTCTTTCTACTCTCGACAACTTTTTTTGTTTACGCGATTTTATTAAATATTTGATGAAATAAAATAATTTTTTCACCTCTTATTTTCTAAAACTTTTGACGTAGCTTTTTAATATGTACCCAGAGTAATTTTTATTTCTTATCGATATATTGATTTGTAAATAAAATGATTTAAAAAAGTGAAATATTTTTCCCCATAAATCTCAATTTGTAATCAAATTGGAAATTGATGAAAGGATAAATATTGTGAACAGATGTATCTAGGGGTGGACACGGTACGGTTCCGGTTCCGGGACCGCCGGTTCCGGTACTGCCACCCCTTGGTACCGGTACCGTGACCGGACCGGCTGGTACCAGTTCCAGTACCTGGACCAGCCACCCCCAAATTATTATTATTTTTTTGCTTTTTTATTAAATTCTTAAAATGTAAAATTGATTTATTTTTTTGATTGTTTTTTTTGAAAAATCTAGTGTCCATAAAAATAATTGAGATCTATGAAAAATATTAAATGCAATTGTTAAAAAATTTGGAAGAGACTTATTTTGTGAAAGAGAGTAATACTTATAAGTTGCAGGCTTGCAGAACCGCCAGACATTTTGAGAAAGAGAGTGCAATTTGGAAGAGAATTATTCTGGAGCTGAGAAGCTGGACCGCCGCCGGACATGTTGCAAGCTTGCAGGGAAAAAAAACAACTCACGGTACCGGTACCAGCGGTTCCGGGATGAAAATTTTGGAACCGGTACCGGTTGAGACGGTTCCGGTACCGGTTCCCGGCACCGGTGTTAGGAACCTTCGATGGTAACGGTAGATGGTACCGGCGGTATCGTTGCCAGTAACGGTACCGCATCGGTACCGTGTCCTGCCCTAGATGTATCAATTGAGTCCCACGTGGCACAAAGAGAGTCGCCAATAAACTAGAGTGAAATTAACCAAAATCTGAGTTGGCAATATGTAAGAAATCTGAGTTGGCAAGAGTCGCCATACAATCATGGTTAATGTGAAAAATTTAATGTAAGTGGCTTCGGCGTGCTATGCAGTCGCCGGTTGACTTGGATAGTTGGATAGACTGGATATAATAGTTGGGAAAAGGATCATGCTACACTTACACCAAAAAATATAAACCATTTATACATCACAGTTTTGCACAAACATGTTGATGGTTTACACTGACACAAATGTTGGTGCGTTAATAAAAATTTACACGAACACAAATGTTGGCGATGAATCACAGACCCTGTCTGCGACACAAACAATTATCGTCTGTGTTTATCTGTGCGAAGCATAGGTATACTCATGGTAGCACCAACGTGGTGGCATCCTAGCATTTTTCATTGAGATTCTTACCATTATCGTTAGTCAAATCTTTTGTTTAAACTCTACGCGTAAAATATGTGCTGTCCAAATCAAAGATCTTCCCCGGGCATCTCTTCTTTTCCAAACTGTCACCCCCACAATCTTCCCCAAATCTCCATTAATGCCATTTTTGCCCCTCTCTCTGTGATTTTTGATTCCCCCAATCACACCCCCACTTCTTGTAGTTGTAGCTGTATATATACACCCAAATGATTTCCATTCTCTTCAAATCTTCCTCTAAGAATTCCTTTCTTGCTCAGATCTTCATCCAGTTCAGATTTGAAGTTTATACGAAACTAAATGGCAACCGCCGATTCCCAGAAGTTCCACGTGCTCGCCGTCGACGACAGCGTCATCGACCGGAAGCTGATCGAGAGGCTGGTGAGGGCGGCTTGCTCCGGCGACGAGGTGACCGTGACGGTGGTGGATTCCGGGACGAAGGCCCTCCGGGTGGTGGAGGAGGCGGAGGTGAACCTGATCATCACCGATTACACCATGCCCGGGATGACCGGCTACGATCTGCTCCGGGAGATCAAGGGCTGCTCCGCCTTCAGGCACATCCCCGTCGTGGTGGTGTCGTCCGAGGACGTCCCGTCGAGGATTCGCAGCTGCCTGTCGGAGGGCGCCGAGGAGTTCTGCCTCAAACCCGTCCGCCTCTCCGACGTCAAGCCGCATCTCTTGAACGCCGCCTGCAGGGGAAGGCCAGCGGCCGGGCTGACTCCCGCAGTTTGCGGGACCGTTTGAGTCTTCCAGATCTGGGAATGAGTTGCCCGTTCCGTGTATTTCCATTCCTTGTGTGTATATATGAAAGGAAAGTTTGATATGAATTTCAAGAAATGGGCGATTTTGTTATGATTCTGAAATTTAGCTAGTAAAATCGTTGTTCTCAGAAATTTTTCATATTTATATTCATACTTCGTCACGCTTACTTTAGCAATTTAGCTAAACTAGCATTTTCACCCGTGCGATGCAATTTTTTTATCTACGAAATTTTTGTCTATTCTGATTTTTTTAAATGCAATATATTTTCTGGATCAAGTAAATATATTTCTAACACGATTTTTTATCATTGGACAAGAACACCAAGGTAGAATAAATAATATTTGAGAAATTGAAAATATACTCAAAAATGTCTTTTTTAATTCCAAACTTGTTGGCATGAAGAATAAGAAATTAAGTAGTACTATTCACCTCATGGAATAAAGAATAAGAAAAATTTATTTACCATTCAACAACTTCGAGCACGGGTGTCAATAGTGCACTATCTTAAAAAAAAGAATATAATAGTTTTTTATGTTCTCCAATAAGTTCGAATAAGTGAAGTTCACTATATTCTTGAGAAATAAATTTTGTTAAGAATCAAGATATTTAACTATTAGAGCACCAACTTCATGTATTGTGGAGATATTATAATTTCTTGAGTCTCTAGTTTTCTTTGTCAACAACCTCAATGATACATTAGAAGTAGGTTCATTATATATGAAGTCTTACTTCTCAATTGCCTCAATGATACATTAGAAATATGCTTATTATGCATGAAGTCTTTAGTTCTTTTAAATATCTGTGTTAAAACATTATGCTCATCTACTATATTTTTCAAATCTTTGACCAAACTTTTATCAGTAGTCAAAGAATTATTCTCCCTACTGTGCGAAACAAATAGAACAATTTGTTTTTATTAGCATGTTAATAATGTTTCATGTGTATTATATTGTCAAACACATGTAAATAATACTTTTATTAAAATGTTGTACTCAATAAAGTATTCGAGATACCTAAAAAGAGTTATTTGTTTTCATATCTCGTTCTGTATACCATAAATATACAATTGTGTAAATTTTGGTCTTTCACCATATTGTGACATTAAACATGGTATATATATATATATATATATATATATATATATATATATATATATATATATATATATATATATATATATATATATATATAGCATTCTACACAACTTACATGTTGCATATATAATCTAATAAACATATTTTTAATTTTTATTTCTCTAAATACAGGATCATCTAAAATTGATTCCACTAATGTATCTTAAAATATATCGAGTATGTCCACCATATCTATTTTCTTACATTGTTTATAATGATTTATACAAAAAGACAATAGTTGTATTATCGTATTCAAAGAAATTAGTAGAATGGGTTGTAAACATAGATCAATTATCTTCTGTTTTTTATGCACTTAAAAGCGCAATGAAGCGTGTGTATAATTGTTTCATGGTTGGAAAATTATAGATGATTTCTTGGGAAATATGTACTGGAACGTGTTTGCAAAGTATATTCTTTCTCGAACGTGTTTGATGATGCGAGTTTATAGCCGATGATGATCACTCCCCTTTTGTATTTGTAATAAGCATCATAAAATAAATATTATAATTTTTTATCTAAAAACTTTAAATATATTTTTTAATTATCCACTAATATTTGTTACATTGATGTAGATGGTTCAATGAATAAATAAGAAAGAATATTACTTATATTATTTTGACATAGATGTCAAAATAATTAGCACATTTTTTTAAGAATTAAATATAAAAGTAATTACATTTATAACAATTATTATTATACCATAAATATTTTGATTAGGAACACCAATTAATATTTAATTTCTTACACATAAATACTCACTTATCAAGGCTTGATCATTTTACAAAGTTATAAATGGAAATGATAATTTTTGTAACATGTAAATTTTTACAAAGCTATACATGGAAAACAATAATTTTTAAATGGAAAATACTAATTTTAAAATGGAACATACTTTTTATTTGGTTTAGAATTTTTTATATATACGGAATAAAATTAATGCTCTATTAAATAAGCATGCCCATAAAAATCCATTTCCTTTTATATATTTGTTTCTTTTTTTAAATAATTAGAAAATCTCTCCAAATACTATTAATTCAAAGCAAAAAAAATCAAATGTAATTCCGTTTAGTCCTACCAATCTATCCGTTCTTAAAGTAAATTTATTTGTTTTGATTATAGTTTTTGAATAGGTGGTTTTTTCAAATTTCAAACTATACTATTTAATTTAAATATTTTCCAATAATGAATGAAAATATAAAAGTTTTTAAACGCGATTATATGGAGAAATTTATGTGTAACAAATATGAAATTTAATTTCCGCATAATAAGTTTTTTTGTTAACTATTTTTTAAACATTACTTGCTAACATGACATACTGATATGTTAAAAAAATTGTATAATAAGCACGCCACATGTCACAATTCTAGAAGCCCAACCCGTTTAGAATATTGAGGAAGTTGATTTTGATGACGTGGCTGATTAAGTGTAAAAAAAAGATCCAGTCAGCACGCCAAATGTCGCAATTCTGAGAGTTCAACTCTCAAATATTATATATAAAGGATAAAGGATAAGAGTATAAGCGTTAGATATCGGCCTTATTTAGAAAATGTTATCTTCCGCTAGTGTTTAACGTTCGCATCTACAAATTAATCTACACTTACCGTAAATTTTTTATCCAAA